GAAAAAAAAGGATTAGCCATTTTAGAGGTCTTCACAGCTTGGACTGTGAACTAAGCTTACATGAATCTGATTTTATTTTTCTTAACTGGAGTTAAATAATTCTATACACCCTCTTCAGAAAATGTATGATGTCCTTTACATGTACAGGGATGAATCAAAGAGAGGATGAGAAAGGCCAGTTAGAGTTGTAGCAAGTGTAATATGAACCTATAGTATGGCATAGTGACAGAAAATTTAACTCGCTTTCATACAGAGCTCATTGATGCAGACAGGTCTGGTCGATGCATTTAGGTACCTCATTGACAAACAGGAATAAATTCAGAGGAAGGCAAATAGAAGAGTCAAGGGTCTGTAAAGGTTTTCAGAGGAGGTATGTTCCAAGGAAAACATTTTGACCTGACGAAGAAAAGATTTAAGGAGAGATAATCATAAAAGAAATCCTCAGAGTTTTAGAAGGATTGTTACCTGACAGAAGGACAAAACTGTCCTTTCTGAAGGCTGAACAGGTTTCCATAGAAGAATATGACAAAGAGGAATGTTTATATTCAATAAAATAGAGTAAAAGGTTGCCTCTTCCCCGCCCTTCCACTCTCTTCCACTCTCCACTTTGAGCAGCTTGCAACAAACTGGGTTGTCTTTGGGACCCTTGCCTCTGGAAATGTCTATGCTGCAATCAGATGTGTTAATTGCAGAGATGCTTTAGGAAGAGATGCCTCTGCTGAGAAAAAGTTGAGATGCATTAAGTCTAAGTTCTTTTTCGTAATTACAATACTAAGTCCTAGTATTGTAATCTATTGTTTTTGGATTGTATATTTGCGTTTAAATTTCCAAATTCTTATAAATGTCAAGCTAATGTTAAATGTATTAAAATGAGTATTTGGATGCCTTCTAAAATTTAAAATAGAAAACATGTTTGAGACAATCCTCACACATTTTTGGCAAGAATGTTTAAACATTTAGCAATGAATTTTCACATCACCACCAATTACATGATTTTAAAACATCCTGTGTTATATAAGAATAGTTTATAAATTTCCTAGGAAATTTTCAAGGGGTTCAGTGGGATCATAAACCTAAAATCATTATGTTTTTATTCTTTCTTTTGCTACATTGTAACTATTGACTTATTTATTATATATTGACCTACTATTTTAGTAGAAATGATTCATACCCTATAAAAGGTATGGGTGGTAAGAATATAGTCAAAATTGACTATTATAGATATGGCAGAATTAATAAAATTTGTATAAATTTTAATTTTATATTTTATTTTACATATCAGTGAATACAGATTTCTATGTTATTCCTAAGGATTTTCTATCCTAGGATTTCATGCAAAGTAATGAGCTGAATCTATCAAGAGTTGCTGGGTAATATGAAAAATATGCATATGCTTTGCCAATTCTTCCTCAACTCACTTCAGTTACTCTAGCTGCTAAAATATGGGGAAATCATCACCTACACTTATAATAAGTAAAGTTTTCACCTTCTGCAGATATAATCATTTAAAGCTCAAATAGGTATTTCAAGTGTTCTAGTCAGATATGACCACTGTAAGAAAAAAATAATTCTGAATTTCATAGGAGGTATTAAATAATAATAAGAATTTCTGAATTAGTAGGATTTCTTGTACTTTTGTACTATACTGCAAAAATTATGACTCAGAAAAGTTTCCTTTTTCATAAACTTCACATCTTAAAATTTTCTCAGTCCCCATTTACCTAAAGCAGAA